TATGTAAGAATTGAAAAATGTGTGCTTCCTGAGCTGCCATTTAAGCATACGAGAAAAATGAAATGAAATTAAATGAATAAAATTAAAATATAAATAAATATCATATAAAATAATAAAATAAAAATAAAATAACTCCCCTTAGCACACTGAGTTTTGCTGTACCTACAGCTAATTGAACCTGCAGAATCTGGGTTTGGTTCAGCCTGAGCTGAACACGGCCACATCAAAGCTCTGCACCTCCGCATGGAAAGGCGCATCTTACGTAGAGGTACCTGGGAAAGGTGCTGATGGTGCAGGTTACATCAGCCCTCACACCACCAGATTCATGTCACTGGGAATGCCAGCCTTGGGAACGGCTCCCTCTGCATTGCTGACAGGAGCCAAGGGCAGCTGGGACCTGAAGCCCCCCAGGCCAGGGAAATGTGAACCTGGTTGGAGTCCAAATGTGCGACTGCATCTCCAGCCATGTCCTGGTGAAACCATTTTCCCTTGCACAGACACACCTCCTGTTCTCACACCAGCTGACACCTGCACAGCAAGAGTTAATGTTATTAACCAGCTCCCTGCCAAGCTAAAATGAACATGTTCATGCTCCCTGCTGCTCCTTGAAGACTGCCTGCTTCTGCTCCTTATCTGCCAGCCCTTGGGCGGAATCCAGCCCTGCCTCCCAGCTATCCCAGGTCCAGGGTGCTGCCCTGCCATCTGTGGAGTCGCAAGGCAGAGCCTTCATGGTTTTTAGGAGTGCCTGCATAAGATGAGAAGCTCTGACAAGGGAAGTACCAAATTCAGCCTTTTCCTCCCCAGAAGATGGAAGTGATTGCGTAACCTCCCCCTCCCCTTCTAACGGAAGGAAGAATATTTGAGGATATTTAAGAATTTTTTGGCTTCCTCTTTTTTCAGCATTGACAGCAATGGCCATCATGGTTACAATTTGCCAGTGCACACTGATTTTGCTTCCAAGGGTCAGTGATTTCTCCCAGTAGAGGGAAACCCCAGTAAAAAAGCTGTGCAAGGATTAACTCCAGTTTCTGGGGTGGAGGAGGAGGAGGAGAGGAGCGCAGGCTCTGGATGGTTCAGCAGCTGCTTCCCTGGCACCAGGGCAGCAGCAGAGCCATGCAGGATCAGACAGCGTCAGACTGGAGTCCCAGCCCAGATCTGCCAGCAAGCGCCTTCTGTGATGTGCAAATTGTTTCAACCAGTTTCCCTACAGGGTGGAGAAATAAATCTCTATTCCTTTCATTCTAGCACTATGAGATCATATTAATATTAAAAAGGGGCATGCCCAGCTCTAGAATTAGAGCTCAAGATACTTTTCCTTAAAGATCTGATGCATAAATAAAAAAGATAATTATTATGCCAGCAAGTAAGGCAGTTATGGAGCTAGAGTACCAATTCCTACTGCTGTACTGAAAGATTTAACTTGGACAGAATGGGAGAAAATCACTGAAATTCTCCTTTACAAAAGGTGCACTGCCAGCTCTCACAGAAACAGACTCCCAGCTCTGGAATAATTTAAGTGGACAGTAAAGAAGGTAGGACAGTTGTGGCTAATTTCCTGAACAAATTCTAGGTTACAGGTGAAATGCCTTGTGACCCTCCATCACTTCCACAACTTTTAGGAGTTCTCAGCATAAGACAAAACCAAACAAACAAAAAGTCCCTATCTGAAAATGTCACCTTACTGCCACCATGGAAAGGACATACACTACCAGGTTTGATTTGAATTATCTGGGGGACACAGGTGGACAAAAGGACTTGTGTGAGTTGATGAAAGAATTTGCTGCTCCCAGTTTGTTTTACCTTGGAAGCAGTGCTTCCCTCAGCGCTGCCCCAGCTGTCAGAATAAGCACTTCCAGCTCCCTCCAGGTTCAGCTGCCGTGCGCTTTGATATCTCTCTGATGAAAGGCTCCGCGCGCGGCCGTTCCCTCAGCCCACATCTTCTCCTTCACCCGGGTTACTGGAAGTGAGTTAATGTTTATTAAAGGAGAAAAAAGCACAAAGCAAAGAAGTGAGGAGTGCCTTTTATTAAAGCTAATTTCTGAGGCCAACCCACACTTCCCACTGCTGGCAAAAAGGCTCAGAGTTATTGCCTGTTTGCTGCAGGCTGTTTGAATACAGAGCCTTTCCCTGGGTACTGATAAAGCCAAGGAGATAACCACTCATAGCATGCAATCTGAAAGAGTCTGTACTTCACATCTTTCTTACTCCAATTGCAAACAGAAAAATATTTCCTCCACTTTTTTTTTCTTTAGAAAGAAACCATTTTCCAGTCAAAAGCCAATGAGATGATGATGTAAAATGCCAATTAAAACTCATCCAGTGCAATCCACATGCTGAGCAGCAAGAGGGAAGGAAGTCACACTGACCAAAGAAACACCTTCAGAAGCTACTTAACACTTCACTCGGTTAAAATCTTCTGGTGGAAGGGAGGTCTGAACCAGCACAAAGCTTAGTGCCCACAAGATCTTGGGATATTTAAAACCTTCCTACTGACCAACACTGGGCAAGGGAGATATCACATGAGCTGCTTCCTCTCTATAAATGATTATGTAAAAGGCTGGTCTAGCTTTTGATATGTGTTTAACCATAAAAGTCCACTAAACAAATATTTTTAAGTGCTTTGATGTAAAGAATAATGGAAACGATCATCTGCACACATTAGGAAGTGTTTCACTAGGAAATAACTGTTTCATTATCAGCAAATAGCACAGACCAAATGAACCAGATGATTCATTAAAAATAATAACATTACTATTGTTAATAAAAGCTGGCTGGTTTAGGATAAAAAATGAACCAGAGGTATTGTTTCTGTGCTTCAATGGTAGTCTCAGAAGAGAACAGAGCCTTAAATATTTATTACTTTTACAGAAAGGTATGCTATTGCTGCTCAGAAGCAATTTGGTATAGAAAGCCAAGACTTGCAAACTGCTAATTTTACTCCAGTTCAGTTTCCAGTTCCCCATTTTTTCCCCTAAACCTGATTTAGGAAATCTAATGTGGTTCTAGAGCATGTCAGACCACACCTCTGCCAGTCCTCTGGGTGCAGGTGGATGCATGATAAAGAAAAAAGCAAAGTCTGAGGAGATGACCCTGGCCTTGAAGTAGAGAGAGGAGAGAGACACGGACACAGCCTCATGTCCCAGCACCCCCAAAGCACCACAGGTTTACAAAAGAGAAGCTGGTATAAAAGTCCTGCTGCACAGATAAAAGAAAGCACAGTTTTGGGCAGCAACACCATCTAACATCCAGAAACGACTGTGAATTCAAAGCCTTTTCCCTAAATAGCTGCATTTCTGAGAGGATTCAAGACACAACTTCTGATAGTAATGAAGCTCAAAAATACAAAGCTCCAAAGAGCCTAGAAATTATCAAGACAGTAAGGACAAAAGGAATGATGCCACCGTGGACTTGTGAGAAAGCCCACCTGTCTTGTTCTGACTCTCCATCCTCTAACACCCTCAATCCCCTTAAATCTCTCACTGTTGCACGACCACTGGTTTGAAAGAGAGATGTTCCCAGGCATCTAAGAGATGAAAACAACATTTTAAGTAACATAACAAAATATCCTAAAGGAAAAATCAAGTGTTCTTAGCTACACAGACAATGGTTTAATCTACCTAAGCCCCCTCTAAATGTTTAACCTTCATTTGAAAGGGTGCAGGCAGGTATGTTATTCAGTTAAGATTAAAACTAAATTGTAATTATAAGGTGTATATATATATACACGTACATAATAACAGTATGGGATGATAAAAACTGTATGTGGTTGCCCTCTGGTTTCTGATACTTGAATTATCTATGCTAAGACTTTAATATAAACTATCAAATTATTCTAACTACTCTCCTTTTTCTGATAAATGCTTAATTAAATATCTCTGTACCTCTTTCAAGTCCACCAGAAAGGTGCTTTTTACTCCCTTCCTAGCCCAGTATCTCCAGTGTATGAAAAAGACAACAGTGAACGTACCTTAGGCTTTTCTTCCTCCAAACCAGGTTATTTGCAGCCTTGATTTTGCTGGTACTGGGAAAGACCTTTTAGCAGAGCCTGGAGCTGGATAAGGATTTGCAACCTGACTGCAAAGCACTGAGAAACATCACCCAAACAGCTGAAAGAAAAAAGAGAACATGTTCTCCAGACACATGCAGAATCTTCTTCATTTGCAGCAAGAGCAGAAATTATTTCCAGCAGGAGGAAGCTCTACAATCAGCAGTGTTCTGCTGTCAGCTGCAGAGCTGCTAACTCTCATCAGGACCTGGGTTACACCACCAACTCTAATGCTCCTGGATGTGAATCATCTCCTTAACCGCAATGAGGAGATCCACAGTCGCAAGTAAATGTCACTGAGATTTTTCTAAATTACTTCACGTAAAATCACAGAGCTCAGAATATGCTAAGCTGCAAGGGACTCACAAGGATCATCAATGTCCAGCTCCTGGCTCTGCACAGGACACCCCAACAATCCCACCATGTGCCTAAGAGCATTGTGCAAATGCTTCTTTAGTGCAGTGGTCACTTCCATGGGGAGTCTGTCCATTGCCCAACCACATTCTGGGAGAAACACCTATTCCTGATATCCAACCTAAACCTGCCCTGACACAACTTCAGGCCATTCCCTCAGGTCCTGTCAGTGGTTCCCAGCAAGAAGTGTCTTCCCCTCCTGCTCCCCTCACAAGGAAGCTGTAGCTGCAATGAGGTCTCCCCTCAGTCTCCTCTTTTCCAGGCTGAACAGACCCAGTGCCTTCAGCCACTCCTCACATGGCTTCCCCTCAAAGACCTTCACCATCCTTATGCACTCCTCTGGATGTTCTCTAATACCTTTCTTTTTTTAAATTCTAGTGCCCAGAACTGTCCCCACCCTCGAGGAGAGGCTGGCCCAGGTGAGAGCAGAGTGGGGGACAATCCCCTCCTGGGGCAGGCTGGCAATGCTGGCTCTCCTGGCTGCCAGGGCACTGATGATTCCATGTCTGTGGTCACACTGATCTTAAGAACGATGAAAGAAAAGGGCTTATAAATTTATTTTACACATTTAAAAAAGATAAGCATGGAATAAAAAAGGTACATTTCCTTAGCTCATTGGCATTAAATTTAAGAAGCAGTATGAACAAGCACTGTGAAATTAAAATTTATCTTAAAATAAGATTTAATTCTGGTATTACTACCACATGAAAACCAGTGTGTTGCCCTTGCATGCAAGCAAGGCCTGATTTTGAAACACATATCCATGAAGATGTGTATACATGTTTATATAGGAACTTCACCCAAGAACAATGTTTGCACATCCAGGTGTAAATATATAAATCTAAATATGTAAAAACAACCTTCATTTTTCCCCAAGACTGAATGCATGATGATGCATATTCACAACATGGGCCAAAATGAAATGTTCCTATCAAAACTACACAAGCAGAAACAACAGTTATTTTGAAACTTCTCTGAAAAAGTGGGCCTCAAATCATTAGCTAGTAATCCTGGTTAAAGAGTTATTTGAAATCAATTTAATTTGCTTTATTGTTGTAAAGATCACGTGAGTAAACCGTGAACTTTCTAATATAGAGAAAGGGTTAATTATCACTAAAATAAACTATATGTTCAGAAACAAACAAGATACCAAATAACTGCAGCTGCTAACAGATCACACAAGGGGTTTGAACTTCTGCTGTCACCAGCTGATACGACTTTTTACTAGCACTGAATATGTATTAATCTAAAATTTTGCTTAGTAAATATCATTTTGTAAGAGATTTTTCTTTCTATAAATATGATGCTGACTTGTGCAATAATAATGACTAATTATTAAAGACTTTATCACAGTACCAAATGACTAAGATTAACTAAATTTTCTTAAAATGTGTTCTCTAATTTTGATTTCGTATTTTTATTATTTTTCATCATTTTGAATTGCTTCCTACTCTTTGCTTATGCACAACCTTGGCTGACTACCCATGCTATTAAGGCAGTATTTCAGATTTTGACTTCTTCAGTCTTCGCAGTTTTAACTTCCCGAGACCATTTTCCACTTCTTTTTTTCTTTTTTGGGAAAGCTTCTCTGAAGACATGGGGTGCATTTCTACACATGAAGCTGGCACTGCAGGCAGCTCTTCAGTGGCTGTGCTTGGCTCATCTTGGCTTGTCTGCACTCCACTGTTGCTCACAAAAAGAGACCAGGAAGGGTTTTTTCTCAAAGTCAATGATTTCTTGTCAATCACAGTCTTTGTCATGTCTTGCTTTGAAAACAACCTGGAATTAAGAGGTATCTTCTCCTCCAGGAATGGACCCAAACAATTATCATCACACTTATTCATTTCTGTATTGATAGAAGCTAAAGGAGTCCCTTCAGAGGACACTTTTGTGAAATGCTCCAACTTTTCCTCTGAACCACAGGTCTTCAGCTGAGCCTGTGTTTCGGTCACTCTCTGTTTTGGAGCTGGCAGTGCTGACTCAGAGCTGCAAGGAGGGTTCTCACTTAGAAGACTGGCCTCCAACCACTCCAGAGGGTGAGGTTTTTGCTGGCTGTGAACATCATCTGGCTGTCTCCGATTAACATCATTCCTCTGCTCTAATACAGGAAGCTCCAAGCTGCTCTCAGCTGTGTTTGTGCAGTCCTTCAGCAGGCCTGGACTCCTACGTTTCACATCAGACCGAGCACTGAGAAAAGTCTGACAGTCGTTCTTTCTGTTCTCTGTCTGCGAGTCTGCCGAGCCAAGATACACTTTCTTGGAGTCCTTGCTGATTTGAGGTTTGCTTGCACTACTTCTCCTTGGTTTTGTCCTCTTCACACTGCAATAAAGAGGAATTTTGTTTTTTAAATTAAAAAAGAACCTTTACTGACTCCATTTACTGTTTTTCCAACTCTGAAACACCACTTGGGCCACCCTCTTTCTGAATATGGAAAAAATCCCTGTATATCATCTTGACAAGCAGCAATGTTAGTCTAGTGTGGATAATATCAAGTGTTATCCATCTGATTTTCCACTGTGCAAGGGGAGAACCCTATTTATTAATGACTAAGCCACGAAGGAGTGAATTCACACTCTTTTCCAAGAGGCAAAACTGGATTCATTACAGATGTTAAAGGTCAACAGAGCAGAAGTATATTGAATTCCTTTCTGAACTGGTTAGATAAAATAGCATTTCCTAAGTGCCTAAATGATTGCAAACCATTCCCATATATCCACATGCATAATGCATATCTACAGGACAGAGGGGGCAGACGGGGAGAGGCAGTGAGTGTGTCTCTGTGTGAGAGCTCCTAATCTCTATTTTAGAAAGTTCCTCTGGAATTTTTCCCAGGACATTTCAAAGCATTGCTTTAAGTTAACCACTACTCATTTAGTATCAAGCCCATTCATCTGGCAAGGACTTAGGTAATGCAAGTAGATGATATTCTAAAAGGAATTACACAGGAAAATGGGATCACAAGGGACTTGATGGAGTGTCAGTACATAAACACTCCTCAGCAGTGCCATTACCTATGGATCTGGATTTCACACAGCCCATAAGATGAACTTTATGCCCAAGTCCTGAAACTTCATTTTCAGTCTAAACATGTTACCAGAAATGGCCCCAAGCTGAGACCACTTTTGCTGCCCCGCTGTGGCCAAGCAGCTCCCAGGACAGCACATCTAACTCTTTCCAAAGAGGGCTCATCCAAAACAGGTAGAGCTGGAACACCTCCAAAACTAATCTCATTTCTAAAGACAACACAGATGATACAACAGTGGTAAAAAGAAAAGTTGCCAGGGCTCACAGCAAATCCCTGATTTCACAGGTGATTTGGGGCTGCTGGCAGCTCACACAAGTTGGAATGGTCCTGGTACCACATGGAGCAGTGACAAGTTCAGCTGATCAGCTCATCCTCCCCATCCACTCTGCCAGGGATATTCTTTAATTGTGACTATTGATCCAGATTCTCAAATTGAACAAAAAATATATTTGTGAAGTGTTTTTCACCCGATTCAAGCACCACATATTTATTTTGGCTCAGAGCTTCATTCAAGGAAAAACAGCCTGTTTTGACTCTGCTGAGTGCTATGTGTGATATCTATGTGGGTTGTAATAGCTTTCTCCATGCTGTAAAAAACAACGATCATTTTATGTTCTTATCCACACTACAGTAGTAATCTTTCAGTAGTTTAAAACAATCTTTTGTAAAGCAGTTTATATTCTTTAAGATTTTATTACATAAGCTAGATTCTACCAAACCAAATTTTACCAATTATAAATTCCAAAGCTTAGAAAGAATAGTGGCATACATTTTTCTCAGGATGTCTTGCTTAATTTGCTCACTCAGACTAATCTTAAGCTTCTTGTTCTCAGCTGATTCAGTAAAATATTCAGACGTCCCATTGGAAAGTTCTTCTTTCTGCTCCAAAAGAAAATACAGTCTTAAAACATGACACATCAAGCTATGATTATTCAACAGAAAGCTCAACTTCTAATACTAAAATTTACAGCTGTTCTTTATTATTTTGATCTGAGCAGTCTAAAAGAAACAATTATTTTAAATCTTTTAATATTTGGGAGTCTAGTCAGTTCACTCCCCTTGACTCCCAAGCAACATATTTCGTATGCTAAAATACACCACAAACAAACAAGACTGCAATGTAAAGGACGTAGCTTTCCAAACCATCTGAGGAAGCTGTTGGCAAATATTTGACATCTTTGTGGCTCAAACTGTGACAAATGCCAGGAATCTGTCCTGCAGACAGGAGCATGCTTGTCAGTTTTTTTTCTGAAGAGACTGACTGGCGCAGTGGTCTATACACTTATTCTCAGAGGAATTCCCATAATTTTCCATACTTACAAAAAAACATACACAGTGTTATTTGCTCATTGAACAAGGCAAGGGTTAAAACTTTTAATTCTAACATTTCAACGTTTGCAGCTTGTAGTGGTTGGCTACTACAGGACAACAGGGGAATTCTTTCTGGTCTCAGCTAACAGCAGCACCATCCTTTTATATAATACGAGTTTGGGGCGAGCGGGAGGGAAGGAAAATGCTCTTTTTCTTCAAGCTGTGAGCACTTCCTTTCACAATGAAACAATCTCAATCAGAGAAGGGCCATTTGATGATTTCACCATTAACTACCGCATAATCCAAAAAAGTATTCTCTCTGAGGCTATGGAGGAGAGGAAAAAGAAGTGAAGTCAAGAAGAGAAGAGGCTTTGTGCATCTCCTTGCCTTTGAGTGCACTTTTCCCCCTCAGCCTCTGTGATGCAGTCTCTGACAGGGGCTCCCCAAATGCAGACTGCTGCTTTAGCCCATTCCTTGGTGAAGAGAGGGCACTGGAACCAGGTGGTGCGGAAGAAATGAGGGACACAGAGAATGCCATCGAAGGCACAAGACCAAAGTCTGGACATGATTCCTGCCTGGAATACCCCTCAGGAACCTGTCACTTAGGGGAGATTAAGCTCTGCCCATTTGTAGTTCTTATTTAAAGGATAGGGCACCGAGGGGGGAGGGACAGACACCTCCATTCTCTGTCCAAAAGAAATAGCCAGTGAAAACAGCTTCCTATTTTGCAAGCAGAAGGAGCATAGGCAAAGAAGTAAAGCCATTTTGGCACTTAAAAAACTACCATTGTCCTGAGCCTTCCTTTCAGAGACAAGTTACACAAATGTGTGCATTGAGCATTGCATGAAGATCTGCCCACTCATGGTGCAACGAGTGTGCTAAAAGCAGGCAGAAAACACACGGAGCACACATGCACTGTGACACTCAGAAATCAAGCTTAACTAGTTTAATCTGAGGGATTAATTGCTGCTTCTATTCTTGTTGGAGGTAGATTCCCCTAATTTGACTAAATATATTTTAATACTTTGTAAACTATTAAAGACAGAAATGCTATTAAGATACTCGAGCATTATGTTAATTTTAAGAGAAGGCAGAGACTGTAGAGTCTGTAGAAACTATTTTGATTTCCAGTAACAGTCACACAGCTTGGAGGCTGAAGGGTCTTGCACAATCATCCTGCATCAAAGCAGCTGGAGAGCGCTTGTACTTGGCCAGAGAGCCGGAGCCCATCTGAGTTCCTGCTGCGTGGAAACGGGTAAGGTTAATTCTGTTAAATCTTCTTCAGTCCCCAACGTGCCAAACAGGCCAGGATCAGCAGCCCACTGAGGCAACTCTTGGCACTGTGGTAGGCAATGCATGGAAAGGAGCCCTCGGTACAAAATCCAGGAGAGGACTGGGGATAATTCCTGTCACCATGTACTCCCTACTGCAGATAAGGAATAAACCCCAGTTCTAACTCGCATCTGACTCCGGACCCTGCAGGACTGGGATGATCCCGCCAGGCTGTGAGGAGCAGACCCTACAGAGAGGCAAGGATGACAAAGTCATGGCACTTGTGAGTTGAGTCAGGCTGGAGCTAATGGCCCCAAGTTGCAGGGCTAACACATTCCCTCACTGCGCTGTCATCAACCTTTTGTTTTGCTTTCAACTAACTTATCACACAAAGCAGTGACAGAAAGGGTTAAGGCTTCAAAAAAAGTAAAAATCAAAATGATTTATATGTGAAACACTTCTGAACATGCCCTCTAAGTACAGTAGATTTTCCCCTTGGAACCACACCCTGTAAGAGCTGTATTTTGAGAGCTGAACAATTAACATAAGGCATATGAGTCAGGCTTTGAAAGACTCTGTGGGAACCAGGGAGCCTTTTGCTATTAGTAGTGATGTAAACTCCCTAAGGCTGGAATAAGTCCACAATAGAAGGCAAAGAGAGTCATAAATAACAACAGCGGGCACTCCATATACTACTAAGACACACAGCCATTATTGGTGATACTTCCTTTATTTTCTTTATTAGACTTAATCATTTTAGTTAATTAAAAAAAAAATAAAACACACTGTCTGTTTTGGGAATACTGTTTATTTCCTATGGGAACTTCAGGACTTGTTAAAGAAAGAAAAAAAGCTAATCTGCTCTCATCCTGCCTAGTAATCCCAGATTCCTTTTAGGCAGTGAAATAATTAAAGAAAAATATTCCAGGCATAAAAGGGAGGACAGCAGAAGCAGACATCATATAAACAATGACACCATGACAGAGAAAAACGTCAAAGCACCGCCAGACTTGCGACTCGACTCTGAAAGAGCTGCAGGGAGTGGGATTGCTGCTAACAAATTAAAACCACATTTCTTGGCAAATTGTTAAAGACAGACCATATTTACATTTGTATAGAGACTGGGTGGGCACAAAAGATTAAAATGCTTCTCTAGCCCTTGAACTGCCAAGTTCTATTAGAAATATGTGCTCTTAAAATCCCAGGGTAAGCTCAGTCCTTTTTGTCACAAAAACTGCAGGAAAGTGCCTGCAGAAGTGAAGCTTACAAAGTCTTACCAGCCTACCTGCTCACAACACTGGCCTCCCCAAACCTGATTTTAAGATCTTTAATATTTCTCCAAAGAGATGTCTGGGGGAAGAAAAATCTCCATCAAAGTATACAGAGAAACATTAGAAATGTTGTTAGGTACAGAATATACTTCCTGTAAGGTTTATCAAATTGAAGATTCTCTTTTTTTTCTTTTTTTTTTTTAAATCTTACTCCCCTTACTATTCATTCAAGCTGAAAAAGAAACCCTCAAAACTGTAAAAGAGGTGGTCACTGCCAGCTCCAGCTCTCTCCAGGACAGCTGAATTCAGCAGTACAGCATTAAATATCTGTTAAAGTACCCATGGATGAGCACTTGCAGGAACAGCTAATTACCCTGAAGCAGAGTGAAAGCTTTGGCCTTCCCAGTATGACAATATACTCATACAAATACTCTTTTCTTTTTTTTTCTTCCAATCTAATAGTGGGTTGAAAGAAAATTTTCAAAGTGAACACTGCTGCCTGCCTTTCCTGCCTCTCAGGTGTCATGCTTTCTAGTAGTCTCTTACTCTTCTCAGTGTAACAAGCTTATGTACCAAATAAGTAAGACTAAGAGATAATTAAATTTCATGTCTGGTTCCCAACCCCATAATAAAAAACACATTGTTTTTAAAATGAATTTATCAATGTGGCTCATCAAAAATACTTAACAGAATACATCAATGGGTTCAAGAAATCAATTTTTATATCATGGTGCCAAATGGGAAGGGATTATAAAGATAATAATATAGGCAAAGCTATGAACTAAAGTATTCTCCCAGGCACATACAATAAAATTAATGAAATGAATAAGACAGAAACACTTATTTTGGGGAGCTTTATGTAAGTTTGGAATTGCATGATTTCTCTTACTGTCATTCTAAAATGTATCATGAGCTCAACCATCAAAAATAACCTTTAGGTTTCAGAGGTGTCCTAACAGATGACTGACAGATCAGAGAGGTCAGACAGGACTCCTTCCAATCTGATAAACAAAAAGGGCTCCTTAAAGCAAGTGAGGAGGCTTGTGAGGGAAGGATGAATCAGATATTACAATCTAACTGATAAAAAAGTGACAGAGACAGGACTTTGGGTCTCGTCTCCTGCCCTCTCCCAACCCACATGAAGGAAAAGCTTCCCACAGTTTCAAGATGCAAATTTTTTTGCATTTCCAATGTAGTGATGCATCAGTTCTGGCAGTTCTACTTATGAACTCCAACCACATCATAAAACACTTGCAGGAGTTTTCCAAGTACAGAAATGGATATTATTCTCAACGTGAAACACAGTTCCTTGATCGGATTTGTGGAATATTGCTCTATATTTTAAAGTTGACTGTCCTGCTCTAAAAGTCAGTAAATTCCAGTAAAAAACATTAAGGATCATTCCAACTGGTGTTGCTTTTGAAATAGGTAGTTTTAAGGAATGCTGGTGGTTTTCAAAAATACTCCAATTTCAATCTTGAAAAGAATGTAACAACCAGAGCAAACTGCATCTGCCCAGGAGGAGCAGAACTGTTCAACCTTCCCATGACCTAGCACAGAAAGCAAAATCAAACTCCTGGATCAGTACAGTCTTCATTATCTACCACCAAAATACCTTTGAATTCGATATCACAGATTTTCAGTTCTGCTCATCAGGAGATCCTATGGTCTGTACTATGTAGTCCAAGCACTGGCCCAATCTGTTACAAGGCCCTGTGATACACATTCCACTTTCTCAAAACACAAGGTGTGAACCCAAGTTTCTCACTCAATACATAAGTCTTGGCAATTACAAACATTCCAAAGGTCCCCCAGGCATCGCCAAATTAGCTTAAAGCATATGACTTCTATGAGGAAAATGCCTTCTTCCTTTTGAAGTATTTGGTTCAGATTTTAACTGTACTCACATATAGGAGGAATCCCAGACTGCTCTGAGTGTGAGAAGTTCAGAGCTCTCTAGATTTGCATTTGAACACCCACTAAAGAAGAGAAAACAGAAGAACTCCTGCTGTAAATGGCAAAGAA